GGTCACCTGGTCATAGAAGGAGATCAGGTTGGTCAAGCAGGACCTGCCTTCCATGAACCCGTGCTGGCTGGGCCTGATCCCCTGGTTGTCCCGCCCATGCCTTGTGAGCGCCCTCAAGATGAAACGCTCCATAATCTTCCCTGGCACCGAGGTCAGGCTGACAGGCCTGTAGTTCCCCGGATCCTCCTTCCGGCCCTTCTTGTAGATGGGCGTCACATTGGCAAGCCTATTTGGACCGTCCAGTGCCAGATTTTCAGTGACATGGTCGCACGTCATCCAGGAGTGAGGAGCCATCATGTCACAAAATGGACCATGCCCATTCCTCCGTGGCAGAAAACGGAGGAGCCGTCCCCGCAGCCTGTCCCTCAGCCACCGCGGGAAGGAGCGGGCTCGGCTTTTCCTCCGAGAAATGGCCCACAGCCAATGGGAGTGACATTGGGAGCCTTTAGTGTCGCCATCCTGCCGTGCCACAACGGGGAGAGAGGGCTGCGAGGAGTGGGGAGACGCATCGGTCCCTGACGCGGGGAATGGCAGGCTTCGGGCCCAGGTGGGCGCCGCACCACTTGTGCCAGGCAGACGGGCACGCTGCCATGGGTGGGCACGCTGCCGTCAGCAGGCACTGACCCCAGAGAAGCTGCGCTAGCTGCGTTTTACATGTTTGATCCAGAGGGCAAAGGGCACATTAGCAAAGATTGCAAAGCGTACTTCTGTGTTTGGTTCTCGAACCTTGACAAAATTGTGTTGTTATGTGCCGGACAGCTAAGAACTCTGAACTATGTTTCATAGTCATAAAATTAAGGAATCTGAATCTTAGCTGACTGAGCATCAGTGCCATCATTTTCCAACTCTTGTGTAAAGTTAAGCATACGCAGTGAAAGGGTAAGGATGTGATTATTAAACTCCCTGGAAGATTACTGCCTGTGCTATTTTGTGCTAAGCAAGCCACAGGTAATTGAAATTCTTTCACTGAAAGAGGTCTGAAATTTTTCTTTTTAGGGAGCCTCGTGGAAGATTCCATTCATTTGTAGTATCATGAAGTTTTTTTAATTATTGTTGTATGTCCTATGTCAGTAGGACCTGAAAGTTATTTCATGGATGGAGTGTATGTAACCTATCTCTTTTTTTTTTACGTTTCTGTCTTTATTTACTTTCAGTAGCAAGAACTCGTGACAGACACTTGGAGCATTACAAATGAGAGGTCACTGCTGGGTGGGTATCGTTTTAGTTTCAAACAACAGTAGTGGTTGTTAATGCTGTAGTAATTCACCACAAGGCTCAATGCCAAGTCAGTAACAAACCAACCAAGCTACTAGTGGCACAATGGTTGCCTATTCAGCCACTTTTGTCCAGTGCGCATCCAGATGAGCCTTTTAAAATCCTTAAATACCCGACAGTGGATTATTTTAATGAAATGTTATAAACCTCCCAAACACAAAGCATCAGTAGTATAGTATCAGGAGTCTTCATGCTGATCTGCAAAGAGAACACACACTAACTTGGAAACTGGCACTTGCAGAACTAGAACGCAGCCTGGGATTTCTCCAGATGCTAGTATACCAGTTTTAAAAGCAAACAATTCAAGTTAGATCCTGTATTAGCCAGAAGTGTTTTTCAACTTACTACTGCAAAGAAAGAAGTTGCAAACTGTGATGGTCTTGAATTACTGCATCACTTATTTTGAAATACAGCTAACTTTAATCAGCCATCTAACTAGCCTTTTCTGTGTACCACCAGCCTGAAACACCTCCTTATGACCCAAGCTAACAAATTCAGTGCTGACTTGGTTTTGTCAGTCACATGAACGTGGGTGCTGAATACAAATTACTTTTAAAAAAGGAAATAAGTCCCATATGTTAGAAGTTCCAAAAGCCTAAGACAGGGTGAGAAAAAGAAGCATGTTTTACATCTTTCTAAAAAAATCAATTCTACAGGAGTATGTCAGTAACAGCAGATTCTGCTCTTTAGCCTGTGCCTTTATGAATTAGCACTCACTCATTTTTTGAGCTTTTGCTTTGCAGAAGTGTTTTACTGAGTTACTGATTGAGTTTGATTTATTCAAAGCAACAAAAGGCTCAATTTTTTAATGATTTTGAGCAATTAATTGAATGACATCCCCATGCTGGATGTTTAAACAGAAGGCACTAAAGCTCTGAGGAAAAATCACTACTGCCCTTCATTTCTTTTGACGATATACAGATAGAACAGATGTTCTGGTCTTCCACTACTGACGCAGCAGGCAACTTGGACTACAAGTTGTGATGCCACACCATCACACATGGAGAAGAAAAGGAGGAGTAAATGGCACCATATAGTTACCTGCAATAAAATCTCAAATTATAATCATTAAGAGATCCGTGTGTTTTCTTCTCACCACAAAAAACACTTATCTTTGTGCCCTATTCAATAGTAGCATATAAATAGGTCACAGTTACCTGACGCTGTCCTGAGTAACCCTACAGGTTACCAAGCTGAAGGCTGCAAACCAAGATCCTACAGTGAGCTTTGCACGCTACTGTCAAGTACCCTCGCACTGAAAAATCAAACCGAGCAAGTCCAAAATTCCTGGTGACTGACTTTATTTTACTGAAAAATCCAATCACAAGAGCTGCTCTTGGTTTTCAGATGCCAAACAATAGCTTTGACTATGTATGCTCCAAACTTATATGGAAGTTTGAGTTGTCGTAAGAAACAGCTTCCTGATTAAGTTGTAAGAGAATTATTTGCACTAACTCAGTTGTTTTCAAATAAAATGGAAAAGTCGTAAACCATTTACAATGTTTATAGTGATTAAACACAAATCCTGTCTCTGCGAAGAACTCCAGCTATGACTGTTACTCTTTTAAAGTAAATTAAGAGCTCTGTATGCTTGTCATTATTCTGAAGGCTCCAAACTGAAACTGCATCCTTCAGCAGTAAAAGAGTGTTTCAGCTAGCACTATTTGTTATGGAAGGCAGAGATGACAGTGCTGCCAGTGCCTGTTACCATCTTTTAATGTCTCGAATGGATTAATCTTGAACATTAATCCAGTAACAAGGCCAACCGGTCTGAACAAACAAAACAGCCGTCATTATGGAATCACAATTGTGAACTGAGAGACAATGGACTTCTCACATACCCTCCCATGCATGACCACATTTTGTCCAACCTGACCTATTCACTTTAGGAGGCAGTTGCTCCTGACTGGCGGTACCAAGTACCACAGGCAAAAAATTTCAATGCCATTAGAAGGGGAGTTTTACTGCAATGTTTTACTGCAATTTTACTTCTTCGCTTTCAGAAGATTTTATTTAATTAGAACTATTATTCTGGCAAAGAAGGCCAGCAGCCTCCCAGACTTAGGAACGGGGTGCCACTGGCAGGTCAAGGGAGATGACTGGTGAGAGCATATCCAGTGTGCTGTGCCCCACTGTCCCCTCCCCAGTACAGGTGAGATGTGGACATTCTAAGGTGAGTCTACCAAAGGACAATGGAGATGACACAGGGACTGGATCATCTCTCATACAAGGAGAGACTGGGAGAGCTGGGACCATGCAGCCTGCAAGAGAAGGATCAGGGGGAATCTTATCAGTGTTTATGAATAACTTATGGGGAGGAGCAAAGACTGAGCCAAACTCTTCTCAGTGGTGCCCAGTGACAGGATGAGAAGCAATGGGCACAAACTGAAAAAGAGGAAATTCCTTTTGAATGGAAGAAAAAAGAAAAAGAACCCTCTTTTTTACTCTAAGGGTGACTGAACACTCGAACAGGTTGACCTGTTGAGTGCTTGTGGTGTCACCATCTGTGCAGATGCTCAAAGTCTGACTGGATACAGTCCTCAGCATCAAGCTCTAGCCGACCCTGTTTTAAACAGGAGGGCTGGACTAGACAGTCTCCAGAGGTCCCTTCCAACGTCATCCATTCTGTGATTATTATAATCATTTTAAGTGTTTCATTTTAATTTTTCTAGAGACAAAAACCTGTGATCATTAGTAATTCTGTAAAGAACAGCTAGTTACAGATAGATTTGGGAATGTTCTTTCTACTTGAGAATCACACAGTTCAAATTAATGTCTTGTTCTGAAATGCCGTTTGTTTCTCCAGAACTTACCAAAACTAGCAGAATGATCCTAAACCAACTCTATTTATACAAAACGTCAGGTCAAGTTTGCCCTCAAGTTTAGGTTCTGAGGTATTACTAAATTTGGTTTGAATAATGCTATCTTGACTACAAGCAATAATAAAATGTTCTTTCTGCAGAATAAATTACTTACTTGCAAATGGGAGGAAAAAAAAAAAAGGAAAATGCATTAGCCAGTAAAGTTCCTTGTAGTATTAATACATTGCAATTCACTGCTCTTCAAAGCATCCCTGTAAACACTGGAATGAAACTCCTTGGTCAGATTCAGTTTCAGGTCTCATTTTCTTCAAGTACCAACAGAAATAGAATCAACGTTTTTTTACATCACATTAAAAGGTTTTGGGAGTTTCACAGAAAATCACAGAATGGTTGAGGTTGGAAGGGACCCTGATGATTCTGAAGGAAAAAAAAATAAAAGGATGTCCAACATCATTTTAATTGTAGACATGTTTTAAGTTTCACCTGCACAGCAGAAATAAAGGGCTAGAAGCTTTGTTTTTTAATCGATTGAAATTTATTACAAATGCACATATTCACTGCTTATTATGTGCCCGCTGCGCTTTAGAAACAAAACCATATAGAACCAAAAGTACTTTTATTAAATATCAGAAAAACCCTGCGATACACAATGCAGAATCCTACTGCAAGTCATTTAACCTCAATCAGGTATAAAACCCCTTGAATATCTGAACATACTCTCTCACAAGAAGTACGTAATACTAACAATTACATATTGGTACCAAGGTGCTTCAAATCAAAAGCACAAGTGCTTTCAAGACTGATCTCAACTGAAATGAGATATCTGAATTTGTTTTCACTAACAATTACTCCAGGCATACTTTGCCACAGTATTTTTTAATTTTTTTAAAAAGGAACAACAAAATCCCTCAAATGCCTTTAAACATGGCATTACAGTTATCAGGCACTAACACAGTTCAAGTTACAAACTAATGGCTCTGCCAAAAAGAAACGTAAAGGCTTCCAGGGCAGCCAGAGGCTAGATGACTTTGCCCACGCCTTCCGAACAGCTCTCTGCAGGGTAATGTTTGATAAGCATAAAGCTTATCAAACTGCATATAAGTGTAAAAAAATTCAACATGCCATGGACTGGAACTTCTACAGGGTTAGTTTCTTTCACTGTCTTGCCGAGACTCAGGTATCTGTGGGATCCCTTAG